TGCATTTTGAAGTTTTCTGGCAGCATTTTCATTCGATTTTCGCGAAGAAAAGCCTTGAATGTACTAAATGTGCGCTCGACGTAAGTTGATACAAGTGGAGCCCAATTTAAATATGGAACGCTTGAAACGTTCATATTATCAGGAATAAGGGCGTTTTCCTCGCCCTTTACAATTTTATCCACATCCCTTATTGTCTCCAAGCCTACGTTTGCTAAGAAAACGGCTTTGAATTTTTTCAACACCAATTTGGCAAGAGGTCCCTGCGCTTCAATAAGCCGCATGGGCATGAGTATATTTTTTAATCTAAAAAAAAAAATTGTAAATGCTATAATCACTTTGTTAAAGGTAGAAAAGGCAAAAAACGGCAAAAATCTTAAAAAAGGCAAATATCTTAAAAAAGGCAAAAAAAGGCAACATCAAATGTGTATATATGGAATCAGGGAAAGCTAAATCGTGGACATTCTTAATCGAATATACTCTATCTCTTTAGCAGAAAAAAGGCAATTTCCATAAAATCCGTTCCCTGCTGATGAGCAAGGCGAACGTTATCACTAAACGGCGCTCCCATTGGAAATAAGGTAACTATAGAGTGTGCATATTTTGAATTCCTAGATTTTTCTAATATCTTTGTCAGAGTGCACAATTTAAACATGTTAACGATTGAAAACTATTTTCGTTTCAGGTACAGAGGAAAGAAATCTCCAGATGCAATACTCGCTGAAAGAAGACGAGGAAAAAGAGGAAGAAGGGGAAGACAAAGATGAAATTCCAGAATATCTGTTGGACGAAATCATCGACCTTTCTGATGATGATGACGATGACCAAGATATTAGAGAGAGCAGTGACGTTGATCCACAGCCGCCTGCTAAACGGCAACTGGCCAAATCATTAATTTAATTTATTTAATTTTTTTACGTAAAACTCTTCATAACTAACATTTCAAAATTATATTTTTTTTCCATATTTTCATAATTTATTTTTCAATGTTTCTTCCAAACCAACACTGAAAAAATTGGTACATAAGAAATGAGAAGTAAATTAATATTAAGCTGGAAAACACAAGTTTTGTATTATGATTGTTTTCTTTTCAAATGAAATTTATTGAAGAAACTGAGAAGCATATTATAGATCAAACAGAAAGCAAAACAGGTTTAGTTTTGTGGAAAATATGTTCAAAAAGCATGAAAAAAAAATTTCCTACATTTTGCTTCATTAGCACTACAAAAATTTTCTAAATCAATTTTTTTTTTAAATGTTAATTGTTGCACAACAATAATTTGCAATAATTTGGCTTTAACAGATTCAAAAAATATCAATTAGTCGACGAGTTATAACCAAAAAACCATATAAACAATATGCTGAAAATCGGCATTTGACAGCAAAGTTCGAAGGTCGATTAAAAAAAAAATCGAACTAACATAAACAAACGCCGCGATACGGGTCTTCTAATTTAGCCTCTATTTTCACCCCTCACTCTCAGAATCGACCTAACTTTTGCTAACCTGAATTTGTTCCACAGTGTTATTGTACCATGACTGTATACTGTGAGAGAAACTTTTTCTCACTCTAATTTTATCAATGACATTCCCACCCTACTCCTAAAAAACAGTGATATTTCTTTGCAAGTTTTAAGAACATTTTTAAATTTTTACTAGTGAAATTTTTACTTTTTAAATTATAAGAACTGCTTGTTCTTCATTCTCTGGCGACAACAAGGCAAAATGGGTGAGAATCGTTGGACTACAGAAATTCAATGTAACCTAAAAAAGAGACGAAATACGACATACAGTGAGAATCGTTGGACTACAGAAATTCAATGTAACGTAAAAAAGAGACGAAATACGACATACAACAATACGACACTTACGACACCGTTGTGAATACCCCAAATATGTATTCATTTTTACTATCGGAGTATGTACATATGTATATGCAAATTCAAAAATTTAAAGCCGTTCTTGAGTTTTGCTTTTTTAGTTAAGTGGCCATATGTACATATCAGGCGCAAATCCAAGGGGAGCAGTGTTGCCATTTTAGCCGTTTTCCGGCTAGATTTAGCCGGTTGCGATAGCAAACAGCCGGAGAAATTTCGATTTAGCCGGCAGCCGATTTGTTAGCCGTTTTGCAGAAAAAATTAGCCGTTTTTAGCCGATTTTGCTATTTGCCTTGTTTTCTTAAATTTCAAATAAGTATATATGTTCCCATTTTTGACTAAGCGACCCAAAATCTGTTAGAAATGGCTACTAGCCTTATCGTGGAGCAAATTTTCATGTCAGGCAGGGTTGTATGAAATTGGGCCGATTTCGCTTATTTTTATTTTAAACGAAGAAGGGATTTTCCTCATAAAATGTTTGGTATAAATGTCTTAATTTTAAGTGTCAAGTTTTGTTCGCAAACTTAGAAAATAAGAAATTGTTTCACTGTTAAGACACTTAAGATGCGTTTGTGTTTGGATATAGTGCCAACAAACAGAATAAATATTACATGTAGATATTGTCTTCCTAGATAGCGCATATTTAATTCTGCCTAAATTACAAAACATCATATTTGCCCACTCCCAAAGGTTTAAGGTAAGGGAAAAATTGATATTTTCAAGCACTATGTACACATATGTATTTTTTAGACAAACTTTTTTGTTCGGAACTTATTTAAATACCAAAAACCGAATGCCAAATTGAATTAAAGGAACCAACACTGAAGTGAGTCAAAATTAAAATAAAACAGTACAAAATTCTATGTAAAGCAAAACTCTCTGGGAATCCTACGAGACATCTGCCGGTCATATGACCGGTCATCTAAATGGGAGAGTTGCAGTCTTTTGGCATCATATTTTACATCAGGATTTAAGGGGTTTCTGAAAAATCTGACTAGTTCTTTTGTGTAACTGTGATTTTGCATCCCTTGTCAACATATGGCCTCGGTTGATGTTAACTTAAGGTCGTTGTTTTACTGCCCTAAAATTGAAGGGACATTTTTACAGCGTTTTTTATGTGTATTGGTTTCTATTTGAGTGTATTGAGAATCGGTCAGTCTGAAAAGGCCTTGTAGGGAAGACAGTAGGTTTGTTCGTCAAAAATCCAGCGAGAATTATCACTCAAAATATCAGATAGTAAGAAAAAAACGCTCCCAAATTATCTCTCATGTAAAGAAACTTGCAATTTTCTGTACGAACGCAAATTTGCAAATTTTTCTGCCAGCTAGTGTCCACGGTTGCATTTCAAACAAAAGAAATTTGAATAGAATTTTTTACAATTATTTCAGAGGGGCCAAAAACAGGATCTACGTGTATATATCTTGTCAGTCCGACTTTCTTCAACATACGTTTCAGTTTCTTTGTCGGGTTTACTATTCGACTCTGGTTGAGATTGCATTCCGATTAAGAATACAGTTTTTTTTGCCGAGTACCTTTCAAATCATTGGAATTAACTAAATTAATTAAGTAAACAAGTATTAACTTACATTTTTCATTTTAAAATCGCTCCAGTTTGTAAATTTTTAAATTTAACGAACTTGTTTATTCAAATTATCGTCGACAAAAAATCAAACCATGTGCCACAATCATATGTTTTTCCTAATTGCAAATTCTTGCTGGCAATATTTTTTCCGGCTCGAATTTGTAACTTCTCTCCAAGAAATAGTCTTTTTACTCGTGATTTATTTAAATAAAACATGTGAAATTTAGTTGAAACATTTTAGCCGTTTTTAGCCGGTTTTATTTGCCAATTTAGCCGGTTCGTCCAAAAAGTTCTGGCAAAACTTGAAGGGAGGATTCATCCCAAATAGAGGGACCTACAGTTTCACGCCGATACAAAACGAAAATTGGTTTTTTATTAGAAGCTTTTTCATGGCAGAAATACACTCGAAAGCTTGCCATTCCCTGCCGAGGATTAAGAAAAAACATTTTTATGTTTCTGGGACTAATAATAGCGGTTTGAGCGACAATGACACAATACATGGATGTTTTTCTAAAACATAATTTTATAAAATGTATCTGTCTCATATCGTGAGCAGAAATTGGCAAAATAATTCAAACTATTTATTTATATAGAAGTGTGGCTGAAAGAGTTAAAACCGCCATTCGAGTTCGAACCGCCACAGAATTGCGGAAAGTAAACACATGTAAATATAGCAAACTGGTTATTTATAGCAAATAACTACCACTACCACCCTGTATTGCTCCCTGTAGATGTAAAATTTTATAGAAATTCCTGAAGTTGTCTAATATGTTTTATATAAACTTTATATGTTTAGTTGTTAGACAAACAACATGATATATTTTTAATAAGGAACTTACCACATAAGTTTGATATCTGAATAGATAATTTTTTTGATCCTTTATATAGTTGTTGATAGGAAAATTCATTATTCGAATCTTTAATGGCAATCCGTTCTGCGTGGAATAAGCATTTTTTGAAAATAGGCACAACGTCTCCTTGTTTTTCCTCTGTTTCAAAAAGTAGGCGCAACTTGACAAGTTTTTTGTGAATCTGCAATAAAAAATCTATGCAATCGTTTTAAATTATACATATCGAAGGCTTATATTCAATACAGCAATTTAACCAAAACTACTTTCTGATGTTAGAAGCGATCAGAGACCTAGCTGTCGTCACTGATGTTAATTTTAACTTTGCAATTCAGTAGTAAGTTATTCTAAAAAGCGATATACCGTCAGTGTCAAATACATATATACTCTGACGTTTTAAAGAGTTTTTTTTTTTATTTTCTATATAATTTTTTTTTTATAAAAATATATGTATGTATGTATGTAGCTAATTCAACAGCAAAGACCACAAGAATCAATTTTTTTTTAATGTCATACAGGACTTTGGAAAGTGCAAGAAATACTAGGGGTTTTCATTTGATAAACTTGATAAAATGATAAATTTATCATATTAGTTGCGTTCGATAAGAAAATTACCCAACACCAGCCAACAATCAAAATCAAGAGAGTAAACGAAAATTCTCTCCCAAAGAGATAAAAAAGCAAAAAAGTTAACGGTTACTTGCAAAAACCGGAAGAAGAAGACACACCAGCTGACTTTGTTTATGTTTTATTTGTAAACAAACTGAAATTCATGTTGCCTCCATAGGAAAAAAGGAAAGTGAACGTTCAATGTTCGCCAGGAACATTTCTAGAAGTAAAAACTAGTTGGCGCTATCATAAAATCACATAGCAGGCAGCCTATAAATACCAAAACTCGGAAAATGCAATTTTGTTTGTTTACAGAAATTGCAACCATATGTTTTGTGATCATATGTTTTCGTGTTGGATAATTTTTGCTGACTAAAATTTTGCCAGTACAAAATGAACGCTTCTCTTGCATCAAAATGAACGCTTGCTCTCTCAATTTTTGTGTGTTGGATAATTTTTTGTCGTTATCGAACGCCATCCAGTAAAAATTTGGAAAAACTATTACAAATTTTTGACTTGTCGAACGCACTTTTTGATAAATGAACTGTCAAATTTGTATAATGTATAAATTTCAGCAGAATTCAACCCTGACAGGTTACCTGGTGGTCGTTTTTGCTACGAACACAAAACAAGCAAATGAACACAATGGACGCGATAAGAACAAAAGCGTTACTAGTCATATAAGTTAAATAATAAACAATTTTATGCAACTATTTATCATGAAAGAATGCGGACAAACTGATAAATTTAAGCAGGTTATCCCTTTATCACCCCTACTAAGAAATTTTCATAGTAATTTTCTATTTTTCCATCCGATNAATGCTCAAATTCAATCACATTTCGTTAAAACACGAGCAGTGATCGGATAACAAACAATAAGCTGGCGCAGCGACACGAGTTGGTCCGCTACAGCATGACAGAGGAACACTTTTGTAAGTACTCCAATTTACCACAAATAGACTACATGATCCAACGATTTTTGCAGGGTTATGCCGAATTTCAACTAGGCATTAAGGTGGCCTCAAAAAGATGCCATACTACCGGTGCGATACGATATCGTATTTCGTGCGATAACGATAAAAAGCAAAGGCCCTAAAACACTGCGGTGCTTCATCTTTCTTATGGCAATCTTTATATTCCAAATACTTCTAATCGTATAATATACGGTTACATTTGACCAGCTGAATTATTTTTTCTATTTTAGAACTCTACAATGAATAAGTTACTCATATCGTGCGACCAATTTTTGAACGCATCGTATCCCACCGGTATACCGTAGCTATTTCAGTACTCCCATATACCGCAGAGGTTTGTATTGGTCACATATTGTAAATTTTGTATCGCAGAGAACAGTTTGAACGAAACAAAATGAGAACAAAAGGCTCGGGAACGTTCTCAAGAAGAACAAAATGAGAACTAAACTTTCGGGAAAGTTTCCAATGAGAAAAAAATAATAGGAACGAACGAATCGATAACGTTTTCAAGGAGGATCAAATAAAAACAAAAGTGGGGAACGTTCTGCTAGAGAACAAAACGAGAACAAAAGTTTTGAGAATTTTATGCTAAAAATGAGATGTTCATCTGCGTGTTGGGTTGAAAAATCGTTTCAGTGAGAACCACGATAGTAAATTTATAGCCAGAGGAAAGTTGGATAATTTCAACTTCCAGATCGTTTATAATTATGATGAACTGTCCATTTATGGAACAATTTTTCATTTTTTAGGCAAGAGAAGTTCTTTCGTTGACTTTATTTGCATAATCATGCTTCAGTTCTTTTTTGATTAATTTTAAAATTCAAACATTTCAAACTAATCGAACGTTACAAGAGAAATTTTGTTCTCGCTTTCTTTCTTCGCTATTAGTTCAGAGAAGATTTGTTCCCGTTTCGTTCTCTGTCAGAAAGCTCTTGAGACTTTATTTCTCAAATTGTCTTTCGTGAGAAAATTCCTTAAGACTTTTGTTACCGTTTTGTTCTTTGCCAAAACGTTCCGGAGACTTTTGTTCCTATCATATTTCTTAGGTTGGTGTTATGCAGAAATTTTGTTGGCAAACTGCGTGCAATTGTTGTTGCAGCAAACTCGGAGAGAGCGAGTTTGGCGACTCTCACAGCAAACTAATTTTGTTTGGTCAAACTGCAGCAAATTCGGTGTTGTTATATACAAAAATTTTAAATTGTGCGCGTTATGTACATCTGAAACTCTCATTTCGTGTTGGCAATAGCCATGAAAGCCATAATGAACGTGCAACCCCGTGCCAAACTCGACATAAGCACCTCCGAGCAAACTAAGCAGCCGCCATTTAATTTGGCAAACAAAAGTTTGTCTGCATTTTGTTCTCTTTGGGAACGCTTCCAGGCGTTTTGTTCTTATATAATTCCCATTGAGAACTTTCTCGACAGTTTTGTTCGCATTTCGGTTTTGTTTTTAAAGAGTTCTTGGGAACAAAACTACCAGAACGTCATTTAGTTTCGATTATACCTTTTGTTCCCGATCCCTGTTTTTATGAACGTAACGGGTATTTTTTAGTGCCCAACATTGTCATTAAAAATGTTGTCATTTAGTGAATTAGATTATACAGTTTTGTAGCCCATTTAGTTTCAGTACAATAAATTTGCAAGTTTCAAGTCGTTAGAAATTACCGTTGACTTTTGAGAATTTTCTTGCCATGGGTGTTCCATTTAATGCATGAACAAAATCTATTTTTAAATGGGCGAGTGCAAAGTTTCCAAAACCGTTTGCATAAAAAAAATTCTCCGGGGATGGAAAACATAGCTTTCGGTAAATAATTTTGTCCAACTGGATCCGTACGACATACTGTGCCCCGGTTTCTTGGTGGTCGGCTTTAGAGAGGTGTGCACCGGTCTGGTCCTTGGTTGAATGCAATCGGATCATCTTCATCAACAAGGTGTTCAAAACTTTTAATTTCTGAACCTCAGCAACTGGAGCAGCCCAATATACGCAACCACGCACGAATGCTAGTTACAAGTAAGATTGCGCAAGCTGGACATTCTAATCTTCAATACTTTGGAAATATAATATACGTATACTTTGTATTTTTACATTTTGGAATTCAGAGTATATTACACCGTGAGATAACCATTTTTTCAGTACAAGAATGCCAGCATTTTTTAAGGTACTTAAATTATAGCTCAGGCATCAATTATAGCCATCAATCCAGGTAAGAATATTCAAAATTGTGAGTTTCAAACCACTGCAGATATGCCCTTGTAAATTTTAAATATACATACATGTCTTAAAATTGGATAGGGTACTGAAAATCTAATACCGTAGATTTGCTGCGATTGCGCTTTGTTTTTATGCGTGCGATACACAAAACAAATTTTTCATGTTCAGAAGTCTTAGGGATCTTCGGTATATCTTATATATATTTATATTGTACCATTCTAATAGCGACATCCTTTTGAGATACCATGATTCGCGATAAACAATTATTTAAAACGAAAAACTTCTTAATGGACATCATTATTCAAACACGGAAATAGCTTGGTAGCCGCTAGCTTGTTTTTTTCTTTTGTGAAATTGGACAGGGTGTTTTATGCATATGTAAATAAAAATATATCATCGTCATCAATGCGAAAGGCCTTTATAACGAGTTTGAACATTTTCTGAAGCAAAAACTTAAAATTTACATAAATGAATCAAGTAATACCCTTTTCAAACCTTTTTGAGGCCTTCCCGCCCAATTAATTTACACGCAAAATACGATGAAAAAATATTATATAAATTTTAATCAATTAAGGTAATCATATAAAACAAAAATATTTAATGCAAATTTAAACGTTGACATATTTTAAACAAAACTCTTTCAAACTTTTATTGATTGTTTTTTTCACAGAGACCTAACCTTGTGCATAAAGTGATTTTGTGTCTTCTAAGGTTGATTTTTGTTTTGCGGAAAGGCGAACGTTCACTAAAAGTGTTCTTACACGATATGTATTTGCATCTGTAAATGCGACTTCTTCAATACATATGTATGTAATTGCGTCTGTCTATCAAATTTACAATCTTTATTTAACTATTTAAAAATACGTTTTTCGAAAACGAAATAAACTAAACTCAGATGATTCTCTCAATTCGTCGGCCATGATTTTTTTCTGACGTTTGCCCGCATTTTAAAATCATACAAAATTTAAAACAAAAAAATGAAATTGCACAAAATTATTGTTGTTTGAGATTGAAAAGGAGAATGTATGTGTGAGTTTAAGTTTTGAATTTTTAAATTATATTGGTGGCAAACGTCAGACTGCCTATCAATGGTTTTACCTTGTTATGTTTTTATCATGATTCTGTGTGTCAGATAAAATATAAACATTTATATTTCGTTTGTACGTGCATCTGCTTTGTGCAGAAACAAATCTAATTTGCCTTTACACGATATTTTGGCATTTCCATATGTAAAAAGTGGCATATCGTAAATTCGTGTAGTAAATTCGATTTTTTAGTTTTCGTTTCAACAATTCATTGAGCGCAAATTGATATATTGCTATTATCGAATCCGAACGTAGATATGTTTTAAATTATAAACTCGACTATGTATGTACGATTGATTCAGCAATGGATCTGTCCAAAATGCACTATTTAACGAAGTGTGATTGAATTTGACATTGCTTTCATTAGGAGGGTTCTATAGTCCAATTGAAAAAAAAATAATAATTGTATGAATTTTTAATCGTTTGTTTACATTTTTTGACACTAACAAATATAAACAAAAGATTAAAAATGCATAAATTTTTTTTCAATTTGTCTTTAAAAATATGAACATACGATTCAAAATTCATATTTTTTTTCAAGTTGACATTAGTTGCATTCGCGTACCTGATAACCAAGGTGAAATTATACCAGGTGTAGTAATAAGAGCGATAAGAAAGATTTGACACTATCTTATTTGAAAATTTGCTCCAAAAAATTTCAATAAGATAGCCGAATGTCAAGAAAATTAAGAAAATAAAGCGAGAAAGCTGTTTTATTATTTTACCTGTTTATAATTTCACCATGCCTGATAATAGTTGCGATTTCGTATTCTCCAGCATAAAATATGCAGTAACTTGCCAGTAACCAAGGCACATTGAACAAGTCGTATCAGTAGAGCAGCTGATTAGATTTTGTTTCAAATTTTTTGGTCTCGAAAATGTCAAATATTTTAAATTTATTCTTACAAAAATTCTAAATTGTTTTTGGAACGTTCGCCCAACTCAGCAGCACAACCGCTGATTACTGGGCCTTGCAAAGGATAGATCAATGTTTCGAGAATCAAAAAAATTTAATAAGAAAGAAAGTTGCGACCGTTTTATTTTTTTCCAATTTAAATTTTTTTATTTATTATTATTTTTTTGTATTTCCCATGACACTCTTTGATTTAGAAGAAAAAATCAGAACAGTTTTTGACACTTTCGATACCGGATTTTACTGGATACTACAAACAGGCCTGATTTTACACATTTGAATCTAAACAAAAATTCTAACAGCTGTTCGTCTAACTTGCAAGTTTCAGAAACTTTTCTTTTGCGTACTATTCTGGATATTTTTCTCTTGTCAGAGAACAGATGACATTTCGCCGAAATTTTGCTGTTTGATATTTTTTACTGGAGATTTTAAACGAACGTACCTTTTAAGGCCCGTCCACATAGAACTTTGGCGTTGCGTTGGCGTCGCTTCAACAGCTGACTATGAATACATGAATTCAAATGCAGCCGTCCACATAGCCAAAATTGGACAACGCTCACGCCAACACAAAGCTAAAAGATGGCCAACTCTCAACTGTTCGCGTGCGTCGCTCGTAAGCTGTTGCAAATAAATAAAATTATGTGAAATATTTTTCCTTTTTCATCAAGTGCGGGCAAGAAATATCGTTTTGAATGCAATTATTGATATGAAATATTAATTTATCTGTCCTTAGTATGTTAATTTAGTGGCCCATGCATTCGCAGCCAAGCGTTCATTGTAGCAAGCATACTTTTAACGTGCGTTCTGTCAAACTAACGCCATCGCCAAAGCCAACGCGAAAGTTCTATGTCGCCCGGCCTTTNGATATGAAATATTAATTTATCTGTCCTTAGTATGTTAATTTAGTGGCCCATGCATTCGCAGCCAAGCGTTCATTGTAGCAAGCATACTTTTAACGTGCGTTCTGTCAAACTAACGCCATCGCCAAAGCCAACGCGAAAGTTCTATGTCGCCCGGCCTTTACACGCACACATAGACAACATGTTTTCTATTTCGTTTTGTTTGCATGTGCCACATGCACTAAAAGCTCAGTTAGTCAACGACGTAGCGTAAACGTAGGTTGACGTACGTTGCAGCATATCTAATTTAAACTGAAATTAGTCGAGAACGCAGAACGTATACTTAAGTATACGCAGAATTTTGTCGATTACTGGAGCCCTCAGTGTTGCTTACTACACTGTTGCCACTCATCAATGCCTTTTCATAAACTTACCCTTTCAACTACAATTTTTCGTGCTATAATAGATTTTAGCTAAATATAAACTACTTAGTTTTCAACAAAAACCTTATTCAATAGTAAATTTCAAATATTTAAAACATATTTTGAATAGGAACTTATATCTTTTTTACCATCTGTAAAACTGACGAAGTGGCAACCATCTAAAGAAGGAGAAATCAGCTGACACGGAAAAATCTAAATTCCGCAGATTTCTGCGCTACGGGCTACAACTACAGAAAAATTCTGCGGTGTTGAGTTTTCATTTACATGGCGCTTTGGTAAGACAGATCGTGTCAGCTGACTCGGGTTTACGTACCGGTAGGTTTACGTTCTTGACTAATTTCAGCTTTACTGTTGATAGAGAGAAGCAACGGCAACGTCACCGCCATGCGGTGATGAGTTTTCGTTAACACGCGAATCCGATAAGATAGATCGTGTCTGCGTCAACCTACGTCTACGCTACGTCGTTGACTATTTGCGCTTTAACACAATCATGCGTGGTTCATGTATACAAAACTGAAACCTGTTTTCGGCCGACTGCCCAGTCCAGTGTTCGTTTGAGTGGTGGACTGCTCAGTCCGACGGAACAAATGCAGTTGGGCTCCAAATCTCAAAAAAAAAAAAAAAATATTGGAATCGCTAGAGATGATTGAGCTGAGTATAACGGTATACTTCTTTTTTTCGGCAAACAACAACAACAAAAATTATCAAAGGTTAAAGTTCAAAATAAGCAATTTTTGAAATCAAGATTTCTTAAAAACGGATGGATTCCCTTTAATTTGGTATACGTACTTTATATATATGTTGTATAGTTCTTACAAAAATTGAATTAATGTAAAATAATTATAAAAAAAAC